CAGCATAGAAAATTAAATTTTCATTATATCGACTTGTTAACACAGGCCCAACAGTGGCTCAGTGCCGGGCACTGGTAACAGTTCACCGTTGAACCCGAACGCGCCACAAGTGCCGGTCGGTATGGCCAGTCAAACGGGACGCGGCGCCAGTGTTGTAAGTATTACGACACCTTTATTGTATAATACACACGTATAATGGCCTGGAGATGCAGTCAACACGAAAGCACATTGTCCTGTGGAAACTATTCATATAAACCATTATATTATTATATACGATATCGTGAAAATGGTAAAGGAAAACATAAGTCACCATTTGTCATGTCTGGCAATGGAACAAGCAAAACCTTAAACTCCGAGCGGTCACCGGTGACCGCAACCTATTGTTCTTTAATTGTGTCTATAATAACGGTACTCAACGAGTTAATCTTATATATTGATAAATAGAAGTTCGTAATGAATAATAAAGTTGAAATTTACTCAAGCAATTGCACAGTAAGTGATATGGTGACCTGCTGTGTAAAGTGGCCAGCGGATCATTCTTCTCCAATCAGTCAAATTTATTCATTGTATTTTCGACATAACATAACATTACGCCCTTTATTTCCGAATGGGTAGGCAGTGGAGCACATTACGGCACTTAATGCCACTGTATAATGTAACACCCACTTTTAACCAATTCAAAAAAAGGAGGAGATTCTCAATTCGACCGTATATATGCTTTTCACTATTCATGTTATGAGTCCCATGTAATAGGGATATAACATTTAACCCCCCTATTGCCATATAACATGCACAATTGATTTTTGGATTTCGACTCGTTATCAATACAATAAAGTTGAAGTTGTAATAGAGAAATTTGACCCATCCTGGGTTGGCCTGCTGGCCACCGTACATACACACAATAACACTACACTATAATGTTATTATAACTCACTATCAGCAGTGCTTATATCTGTTGAATCTATCGACAGATAAAACACAAGTTGTTAATGAAGTCGATGATAGTGGTGATAGTATTTTATTACATTTACAACTGCCCGTAAATAATACGTCCATTATCGATTGATAACGGGCGTAATGGACAAACATTAATGTTTAATATCCACGCTCAATACTCTCAGATAATAATTTGATAACAGTGTGACACTAAACCGAAAAATTAATTATGTTTTCGGCTTACTCAAGTAACATGTAACTGTTTGACGAAGAGTTTCAAGCCATGCTAATTTCGCGATACGCAGTTACGTGAATAAGCCGAAAACATAATAATTAATTTAGTATGTCTCACGAAAGTTATAATATAAACAAGCAGAAAAATTACTATATTACCTAGTGCTTTTGACTATTAAAAGCAACCTGTAGTTTATAAGGAAATAACAGCTAATATTAACACGTTGAAAAGCTTAATAACATTAGAATACTATTAATACTTAATCTTGTAGTTCTTCTACTAACTGTTAAGTAGTGGGGCTAGATGCAGACTGGACTAATACAAGTAACGAGTAACGTAATTAATGTAACAGGAGCGGCGGTCAAGCAGCGTGCCGACCGGCCTAGAAGCGTATATAGTTACAGTACGTGCACGTAATAACTAATGCACTTTTATTTACTGGGTGGATCAATGCTTAAAGTCTCGGTCTATAGAGCAAGCTAGAACACTAAATTGAGTTATCAGTAAACTTTCCCTGAACGATCATTATATTAAATTTGATGGAGAATCGCGAGCTTTGATTTCTTAACATGGCATGGGGGTAGGTACCATCCTGATTCCTAAAGCAACTATATCATTTTATTATACTTAGTAATTGAGACTGAAATTGACCCTTATGACGGCTTGTATTAAAATAATTGATGGATTTGTGCTATTCCTGTAGCAATCACTCATATTTTTTTTTCTAAATTTTAAGAAATATATTATAGTAGTCTGTTAAATATAAAACATTTATTCACCCAGTAAGTATAAAACAAACGCTGGGTTCTATATAAGGGTGGTGTGGTTATTGTGTGCGTGTCTGTACGTGTATATTGTCTCGTGTCGCCTCGCGCTTCGCCCTCGCTTACCTTTCTAATCTCTTTATACTCCCCCAAAACTATACAGACGGGAGTTCTAGGGATTATAATTTTGTGACAGTTCAAAGAACTTGGAAAGTGGGATTTTAATATTAAGTTTTCTTATAGGTAGGTCACAAAGCTAAAGGCTAATTTTAAACGACCCTGGTTTTTAAGAAGTGGCCATTTTGTGTCTCTGTGTATGAATGATTGTATGTTCGGTATAACAGAGTGTTGATCACAGGTGAAGGGCCTACAGTTCCCGGGTTGCCACGACCCGAAATACTGTCGGCTGGTGCTGCATCGATCCAAGCTTCTCATGAAACCGGTCAGTGACAGACAACCCTAGCCAATCCTCTGCAACTTTCGTTTACGTCACACCCCTAGCCAGCGGTCGCACTCCCCAAGATTTATTTCTAGCTCGATGTTCATTTATTTTTGGTGTATTATTATTTTCTTCTCCAATAATGATTTCTTTTTTAGTTTTCCATATCACTAGATTTTAGGACACTTTGTTTTCCCCATTCGTTCTCATTTTCAGCTGTTCTCAACAAGGAGGTTTTATTTACGTTCTGGCCACTTTTTATTTTTTCGTTGTAGAGGTTCGTTTAGTAGCTGTGTTGATGTCGATGTTTCCGAATTATTTTTGTTAAGTTCCAACTGTCTATTGCTAATGTATGTTGCGTTGTCTATTGCACATTTGTTGTATTAATTAAGCGAAGCATGATCTGTCTATGTTACTAACTTATTAATATGTTTAAATTGATTTACTGTCCTTATATTATAACCACTATTTATTGTTTTTGTTTAATAATAATGTTGTATTTAGGTGCTGAAACACAAAATCGACAACATCAAAAGAATGGCAGCGCATCCTTCACAACCATTGTGTAAGTAGAGCTACTTGAAGATACTTTTAAAAGTGATTACTACGCTTACACCGGAATATTGAAAGGCTACTCAATTTTAATTTGTACTTGAATATCGTGCCATCTCTATCATTTCACAAATAATTTGTAGTGACTAACTATACTTAAATTAACTTAAAATTGAGTGACATTTGCGTGTTTTACCGTTATTCATTTACTTTTCATAATAATATCGGTCCAATATGATAACTCTCATTTTAAAAGAACATCTGTTACATTGATTTTGAAAAACTCGATGTGTTTTTTCGATGAATTCATAAAACAAAAATCAATAACAAATATTATTGAGTCATTTCTGTTTATTTATGTCAATTTTTTAGTATCGATTTCTGTGTTTAAGTTATAAGGTAAAAGTAAGTACTAAATAACAATACAAATATTCGATTTAGACCTAACGGGTGGAGCGGATGGCTCCGTTCAACTATGGGAGTGGGGACACCCGTCCTGTGTCTGGTCACCGCGAGCCCCCGGCGCGTTTGCAAAGGTCACAAGAGTACGGTTCTCTGACTACGGGAACAAGTTCGCAGCATCGGACGCTGATGGAAACCTGGCTATGTGGCAACTACATCCCGCACCGCATCAAGCTGGACATCCTCATGCCTCGCCTAGGCCGTTCTTTGTAAGTTATACTGTCACTTATAATATTTTCTTATTGATGTCTTCATATCTGTAGGTATATTTTAAATCTTTTACCCCGAATTTGATCTATCAACTTTAAGATTCTTTTTTATTGAGAAATAAGTTTATTTATGTTATTACAGTAAACAATTACATGTATACAATTAATATTAACTGTTATTAAATGAAAATATATACATCTTAAAATATAAATAACTATGAACTAAAATATTTACACCTTAAAAAAAATAAAAAAGCTATAATAAGGCATCAAAAAAAAAATGTTCTTCATCGTTATCGTGAGGTAGGGTGCCCAAAAGGCTGGCAGCATTGCCACGTTGAATGGCAATGCTTAACCTTTGTCCAAGGTAGAAGACAGCCCTTCGACCACCTGTAGGTCTACTCTGATTCGACGAAAAACGAAGTTTCGGACGAAACTTCGAACATTACCTACCACAATGGCATTTATTACGAACGAAAAAGGAATGAAACAAGTCAGAAATTAGTATGAGATGTACTGTTTGACATCGATATTTTTGGAACCCTACTCTAATTGAACAATCCGCACGAACGAAAATTCGAGTTTGACAGATTATTCTTCGGACGTTTAATGTCATTTCGACGAAACCAAGATAGTTATCGTTTGATTTTCGTTTGGGTTTAATTTATTGAAAAATGAAGGAAAGTAATTATAAGTCTTCGTTTTGTCACGGTTTCTCTGTGTGGGCAACACGTAGGGCACCAAAGGAACTACTTAAATGACGATATAAAATCAATGTACAGTCAGCTCAAATAGTTTGTAAACACGAACCTATTTATTTTATATGTCTATGAGAGTTAGTAACATTTAGGGTAATCAAATACTTATTTGAATACCTTATGTATTGTACATAAATGTTTCATGTGTAATGTTTTATTTTAAAACTAATAATACCGTTATAAAAATTAACTTAAGTATTGCTAGTATATATTTTCGCTATTCTTTCACATCTATTAATATACCAACATTTATAGATAAGATAAATTCTTTCAAAAATATATTGTTAATCATCATAACACGAAATAATTTAGTCTCTTCAAATTTTCATGTAGACATTTATGATTTTTAAACTGACTGTACTAATATAATACGAATAAATTTGGTTGTCATTATTTTGTACATAAATGTCAATAAATGACAATAAAACAACATTCTAAAACTTTTTAACTTGGTCGTATAATAAATTTCTGAAAAGAAGTTCTTATCCTGTTTATGACTTTCCATCTTAAACGTTAATATTAAAAGATTTTTCATGATTTTCTTGATGATTATGTGTGCTAAGCCATGGCATTATGATTTTAGTAATATAATTACTTAATATAAAATTTTATATTTAATTTCGAATCTAAACCTACTTATTGCCTATTTATTTATCTTCACTTCATTCGTTCATTGTAGTTCACGAAAGTTGTCTATGGTTCTGAAAACGTTGTTTGCGGCCGCAAATCAAACGAAACTTCGCATTCGAGAACCGGAGTAGACCTCCTGAGGCCTTAGTACGAGTTTGATTTACGTTAAAAGTATTCGAAACGAGTACGCGTTCGGCACTCTGATTGGCCAGCACCAATGAACCAACCAATCACAGCGCCGAACGCGTACTCGTTACGATTACTTTTAAGGCATTGGCTGCCAATAAAAAACTGTTGAAGGCAAATCCTCCGCTAATGTCGGTCACCGGTGACTGCCATGGCGTTTAACGTGTTAACGTAAAACAAACTCGTACTAAGGCCTCTGATCACTTTAAGATTAGTTTTCATAAATGGAAATGAGATATCATTTGTTTTTCATTTACAGACTCATCAATGTCACAGTAAAGGAATTAGCGATTTCGTTTTCCTCGGTTCTTGCAGTTTAGTTGCTACAGGTAACAAGAAAAAATATATAACTAGAAAATATAAAATTTAATCTTATTGTGTCTATGTTGTACTAACTGTTTCAAAATATTACAGCTGGGCACAGTTCCGAGAGTAAAAACGTTGCCGTATGGGACACGTTGATGCCTACTAAGAAAGCTTTGGTGGTTTGTGAGTATAGTGTTTGTTTATTTATAAAAAGTCTATTATTTTTATCCTATCGTGAAGACAGTAAGGAAACCTTTGCAGCGACATTGAATTGGTAAATGGTTTTGTAGTACATCTATTCAATAAAACTTACCTTTTAGAATCGTGTTTTGTATATTAGTATTGTGTGGACCTGGATATGTCCTAAAACTAACCAGCATCAGAAGAATGGGCATTAGAATAGCAGTTTAACCGTTGAGTAAATAATTGGTATGGATGTGTAAAGATGTGTTTGGTGCAGCGTGGACGTGCCACGAGGGCGGCGCGGCGTGCGTGGCGTGGGCGGGGTCGCTGGGCGCGCTGGTGTCGTGCGGGCGGCGCGGCGACGTGCTGGTGTGGGACCTGCGCGCGCGCGCCGTGCGCCAGCGCCTGCACGCGCACCACGCGCCCATCAAGTGCGTCGCGCTCTCGCCCAGGGAGGACTACTACGCTATCGGAGCTGCGGATGGGGATATCAAGGTATACCATTCTTCTTCTTCAACCTACTAATGAGTGAAGGTCTTCCTCAACTTGCGCCAATTTTTAGCGGTCTTTTGCTGTTGTCATCTACTTTTTTCCTCAGTCCCTATATTATATCCCATTCAAAACTTTCAATTACAACTATGTTGAAATGTGCGCTTATTTCCTTGCAATTCCCAAGGACAAACATTTTCTTTGGCAACGAAAAAGTGAAGTAATCGCCGTGTCTGATATCGATCGGGCGGCAAATTTTATCTTAACTTTAAGTTAAATTACTATAACCGCTTACCATTAAGTGGACTGTGCGCTTTTTTCGCCACCGTCGTAAAAATATCGACCATTAGGTATGTTCCTAATAACAAGCTTAAAATGCTTGTCTGATATTGCTATAAATCTCCTTTATATTGCAGGTGTTCTCACTAACGACTCACCAATTGCTATATACGTTTGCGGGAGAACATGCTAGGAGTTCCTTCTTCAAGCACATAGGCCAGGGTGTTACGCAAATACATATCGGTAAGAATAACTGTAACTGTATTAATTATTTAGTTATTGTATTAATTTTTAAGTATGTTGCTAATATCTGTAATGTTATTTAGACAATGCTGGCCGTCTATTCTCGTGCGGCGCGGACGGCACCATGAAAGTGCGAAAGCTACCCGAGCGAGACTCGCCGCTGCCTCATCAACCGCAGTATTAAGTCTGTGTGACTGCGACACACGGTCAGTACCAGTAGTATAGTAGTACTGTAGTTGTAAGAAGACAGGCATCAACTAACCCCCGTCTTGTTGTAGGATGGCGAGACGCAGGAGAGAGCATAATGTGGTCCGGCGCACCGCGTCTAGCCTTACAGCCCTTGTGATGTACCTATTTATCGTTGTTGCTATTCAAATGTTACGAGTATGATGATCATTGTACGCCGTTAGACTAGTCACTGAGTAGGCGATGTTGTATCTTATAATGTATTTAAAATGTTAATGAATCTTTAGTTATTTCTAGTGTGAAATATTCGCTATTTTTAACTTAATAAACATGTCCTAGATAAATATATAATTTATTTATTAGCTCTCGCTAGCGGTGGCTGGCGGCAGTGGCTGGCCTAAGCCGCGCGTTATACGTGGCGTAGCGTGCGCGGCGCTAGGAGTACGGTAGTGTGACATATTGTATGATGTGCTGTATTTTAGTGTAAAGTGCAATAACTAACTCGATGCTAACTTATGAATCCGACTATTGACGACGTCGAAGCCTTTACTAGATAACAGTTTAGCTCTTTTAAACAATTTAGCTTATGATACGAGTGCATATAACTTGTTGACGCATAATAACATATAATTTATTGAATAGGTATATATCAATCTATCTCGTATAAATCGTCGTTGGCTTACTGTAACTTGTTTATTACTATTTAATCTCGTGGCACGTTCGATTGCCAGTCGGTCAACATATTTCATGTAATACCATTATTATACTTAATCCCCGTATATGGCACCTCATGTTCTAGTAGTAAGTATTATATTGTTGTATCTATGTATTCTATGTGATGTATTCGAGATTAAATAATATGTTCATGTTATTTTTAAAGCAATATTTTGTTCCATAAAAGCATTTCTAAACGAAGCAATAAAATTATAAATATCAAATATATTTTGTGTACTATCCTGTGCTTTATTTTAACAGTATTATTATACGTTTGTAGTGAGGGAAATAACAAAATTATCTTAGACTCTGTATAGCCTGCAATGTGTTCTATATCTAAACTGCGCTTGTGATACATTCAGTGATATACTTACTAAACAAATTATAACAATTTCCAATATACTAACAGATACTATTGTAAACTTAAATCTTATTTTATTTTATGTATATTTTCAAATTGTTTATAGTTGAATTAGTGAAATCTAGCAACATAACACGGTCCCATGTATCGTACTAACCCGTTAGCAGTAATCCTAATAGCAAATAATTCATAATATTGATGTTAGTCATATTATTAAATCCGTTGACTAAATATAACAATTTCGTTTAAATGGAACCCTATTCTGAGTGAAATAAAAGACATTGGTTTCGTTGTTTTTCTTTGGTTAACTATTTGTAATATTGTTTAGGTTAATGACTGAACACCAAAGTTATATCTATCGAACATAATTGTTTACTGGCTACATTACATATTGATAAATTAATATCAAATTCAGTTAATATAAGTTACCAAGTTTAGGCTTTATGGTTTAAATTCGCACAATAAATTGGTATGCAAGAGAAGCGTTTTACTGTGACATGTACAAGTCAATTATTGTCGTAAATGTAACGTTATGAACATCTGTATATAATGGAAGGGCTACGCATAACCAGCTAGTTCCTATTTAACTATGACAATACGCCTCGTGTAGCAGTGTACTTGTACAATTGAATCAATTAGCAATCATGTTTACACGAATAAAGTAGAACACTAATCGCGCAAACCTTACAGGGATTGCTTCGTATCGCTTCGCTTCTGGCATACGTACGAAATTTCCACTATCTTCTAGACAACCACATATTGAAATGAGTTGTATCACGCACCTGTTACAATATTATAGTTGAATGAACAATGTTCAATGCTTAGTTTGTTTTATTTATGAAAAAAAAACATTTAAAATAAAGTTTAACTCATAGTTATTGTTTTATTTCTAATTCTTTTTCAAATTCTGATTCTGAAATTGAATTTCCGATTCTGAAATTGAATTATAAGCTACCTATTACCCACTAATGTGTCGTTTAGTACACAATTTTGAAATTAATTAGTGATTTATTTCTCTTAAATTTGTTAAAGCGTTTATAAAGAGAAAAGAGCATAAATATTAGACCGTAGGTATAATATTTGGCATAATATCTATGGGGTGTTAGTAGTAAATAAAATAAGGACTAGAGTTCAGCAATAATTTAATAATATTAAAACAAGTTTTTATCATCATAGATTAAAATGATTATGAGGATGTTAGCACAGCTAAAACTCTGAAGACTTACGCTTTGCCCTAAGGCATCGCAGACGGGATGGTTCTAACAAACCATACAATAAATAAAAGTAATTGAAGTTAGTATTCTGGACTTGGAAAATGGAGACTGAAATTAATAAATTGGGATTGCCATAAGCATTGACAATATAACAATAATGCATAGCAAACCAAGCTCATTAAAATGACCTACACACTTAAATAAATGAAGTCTATAGGCACAATATAACGGTATGCATGCACTACAATATAAATACTTTCAATTGTTGGCATTAACAAGAATGTCTTATTAGTGAGGTATTAGGTACATTGTATACGATGTTGGACTAAGCATACAGTCTTTAAAACAAATTATTTCAATAATTTCTTGTCGACGTCACCAGTTTTAATTCCCAAATATTCCGACACGAATTTTACTGCATCATCCTGATTCAAAGTAGACTTTCCTACAGGATTTTCTAAGAACAAAGTAGCAGATTTAATTCCATTTGCGATGTTAACAAATTTGCAGAATGGGCTGGTTTTAGACTCGAAATCTTTCGGTTTGTTTACAGAGGCTACCAATGTTTTAGAATTCAGACTTGTTGTATCTTTCACCTCCACCCCATCACACCATAACGTAAATTTCAAACCATACAAACCAAAAAGAACTTCGATCTCTTTGTAGAGGTTCTCTAAGCTTATAAACTTATTGGTTTTATCCTTAAGAATAATGCTACCTTGCTTACTCGTAACCCCAAACCGAGGAGTAAGATCTTGTAGCACGACATTCGCCCAAGGGTTAGCGGGAAGTTCCACTTCCTTTCTCCAAGTAATAACCAGTTTTAGCAGAGAACCTTTAAGTTCTTGCGTTTCCTCAATAACTACGGGCATTGATGGCTTGATTTGTTCAATGGGTATCAGAGGCCCTTTCACTGTAGTCTCTATAAAGTCGCGATGCAAGTTTATTATACGCACTATATCGCTGGTTTTATTGACAGAGAAGTAAATGTTCACGTCGTCTGTTGGCACTAAGTGCGCTTTCTTCCGTAACTTCTGAACTCTGTTTATTATCTCTCTAGCAAAACCTTCGTCAAGCATGTCCTGGTCGGGAGTGACGTTTAGAAGGATCAGAACATCGTTGTCGCTGTGCGCTTCGTATTGGTCGTTGCCTTGTGCCTGGAATATCATTCTCACTTCCGAAACATCAATGCGATGCCCCAATAATTCGATGAACCCATCAGCGATAAGTTTCTCACACTGCTGGTTATTAAGAACCTTCAAAGCTTGAGTGATAGCCTTAAAATCTCCTTTCAATCTTGTCCCAAGAATTTTGTGGTCAGGCTCTGCTCTTAATGTAATACCGTACTTTTCTTTGTCACTGGTTAAGTACAGTTTCTTGATATTCAACTCTTCTAGGACATATTTTTCTAATGATTTGACATCGTCCAAATAAGTGGAGTCACGGTGAATGACAATCATTTCCGGCAAAGGATACTTGATCGGTACTGTCTTTCTGTCTCTCACTACCCTTCCCAATTCAATCACGCTCTGCATTCTTTGAACAGCTCTTTCGATATCGTTGTCCACTAACTCTAACTTTGGCTCTGAAATCATATTGAAGTGTACACTCTCAAGTGAACTGCCAGGCAAAAGTTGACGCAGTGTCTTGTACATCAGTTCTGTTAGGAAAGGTGTGAAGGGAGCCATCACTCGCACCATATCGAATAAGACACCGAACAACGTGTCCAAGGCGACTTGACAATCTTTGACTCCATTTTCTCCCTTCAACCTCTTCCTGTTCATTCTCAAGTACCAGTTGGTAAGGTGATCGATAAATTTCGTCAGCCTTGGCACGACGGTGTACAATCTGTACGCGGCCATCTCCTTTTTCACGAATTGGATTAGCGATTGCGTAAACGACGTAATCCACTTATCCATAACGTTTTCCCTTACTGCCTTCTCATTGAACCTGTAGTCGATTTTGTCCTCTTGGACAATTCTCTCAACATTTTGCATTAAAAACCTAAAAGCATTATACCAAGGCAAAAACACGTCTTTAATAATATCCCGGACACCCTCTTCTTTGAATCTCAGATTCTCTGCTTTAACCACAGGCGAATTAACAAGATAAAGCCTCAAAGCATCAGCTCCGTACTTGTTAACTACGTCTAGAGGATCAGGATAGTTCTTCTTCCTCTTGGACATCTTTTGACCATCGGCAGCTAATACTAAACCATTTGCAATCAGATTTTTAAAGGGTGGTTTTTTAAATAGAGCGGTTGATAAGACAATAAGGGTATAAAACCAGCCTCTCGTTTGGTCAATGCCCTCGGCAATGAAATTCGCAGGGAAAATGTCTTCGAACTCCTTTTTGTTCTCGAATGGATAGTGGAATTGTGCGTAAGGCATAGAACCAGATTCAAACCAACAATCAAAAACTTCAGATACCCTTTTTAGCGGTGGTTGCCCAGGACGAGACGACGGAATCTCCAAATGATCAATGCTTTCCCTGTGCAAGTCTTTTACCTCTTTGCCAGTCAGAGCTTCTAGCTCAGCAATACTACCTACACACACCACTTCCTGTCTATCGCTCGAAATCCATAAAGGAATCGGTGTGCCCCAGTACCTATTACGACTAATGGCCCAGTCACGAGCTTCTTTCAGCCAATTTCTAAACCTCTTCTCTTTCACATATTCCGGCACCCAATAGGTCGCTTCACACGACTTCAAAAGTTCCTGGTTCATTTGTTCGACTCTAACAAACCAAGAAGGTACTGCCTTATAAATGAGAGGAGTTTCAGATCGCCAACAGAAGGGGTAACTATGCTTAATTTGTCCTACTTGAATAAGCCTGTTACGCGCCTTCAGATTAGCAATAATATTTTTGTCAGCATCTTTGACGTGCTGGCCTAAGAAATCTTTAACAGGTTCCATGAACCTGCCACTGGAATCAACAGGACATATAATTTCCTGATCCCTAGTAATGATACCAGCTGCTAAACAAACCCTGAAGTCATCCTCACCAAAGTATGGCGCTTGATGGACAATACCAGTACCAGAGTCATCTGTAACATATGAATCAACCAGCACTTGGAAGGCCTTAGGGCATTGATCAACAAAGTAATCAAAAATAGGTGTATACTTAATTCCTCTAAGCTTCTCTCCAGGAAACTTCTCAAGAACATCAAAATCTTCGACATTTTTGAAAACAACGGGGAATCTGTTTTCTTGAAGAACATAACAATTTCCCGTACTCTTCTCTTTTATTTTAACATAAATCAATTTTGGATTGACACAGAGAGTTATGTTGCTGGGGAGTGTCCATGGAGTGGTGGTCCAAGCAAGCAGTGAGAACCCTTCAGCTGTAGGGAATGAAACTACAACTGCAGGATCTACAACATCCTTATAGTTCTGTCCAGACTCAAAGTTAGACAGGGGAGTGGAGCAGGCTGTTGAGTAAGGCATTACTTTAACACCTTGATATACCAAGCCTTTGTTGTACAGCTCTTTGAATACCCACCAGATAGACTCCATATACCAAGGGTAAAGGGTTTTATAATCGTTCTTGAAATCTGAAACAGACAAAATGAATATCATTTAGTTAACATACTGACTTATTATTTAGGGTATTGAAAGTGTGGTGGAAAGACTCACCGATCCAGCGACCCATGCGACCTATGATTTTCTCCCAATCCTCAGCATATGTCATAACAATTTTACGACATTCAGCATTGTACTTATCAATGCCCATTTTCTCGACATCTTCTGGACCTTTGATGCCCAATTTTTTGTCGATTTCAAACTCTACCGGTAATCCATGACAATCCCAACCAAATCGCCTTTCGACATGAAATCCCTGTAATAATGGTTAAAATAGTGTTAACTGTTAAATCCCCAAGTAGTCACCGGTGACTGCTCTCCCCTAACTCCATTATAGACCTTATTTCCGATGGTGAGAGACTACTTATATACTTTTGTATAAACCAATTTTAGGGCTTTTTGGTACAATATATCAACATATTAAATTTATACTTTGTCTAACTTGAATTGAAGATATTTCTCAAAGTATTAATCATATAAGTAAGTACCTGTTGGTGCGCATATCTGGTGACGACATCTTTAATGGTTCCTGCAAGGATATGACCATAATGTGGAAGTCCAGTTGCAAAAGGTGGCCCATCAAAAAAGGAATATCTGAAAATTAAACGCAATTTTTAGTTAATGTTCATTTAAACCACAGAAACGCCCAAAAACGATACCAGCACCACCTACATAACAAAAATTTATAAATTCCTCTTACCAAATGTTCTTAAGATCACATGGGAAAAAGGAAAAAAGAAAATTGGATTAAAGCCATTTTATACTGTCTTTGTCACTTCTATTAAGTTTAGTTGTAACTAACTAGGTGTACCTAGTAAGTATATTACAGTTTCATAACTTTGGCTGTTAGGTATGCCAATGAAAATAGAAGGTGGTGCAAGCATTGGTTTCTTCCATTGATTGTATTGTCTACACAGTACACACTACAGTTTCATGATGATGATGTGTTCAAACCTATAAATGGGGTAGACGACTAATTTTTATTTTAATGTCCGTCTGGTAGATTATTTAAAAATATTAGACACGTATTTTTTATTTTCTCATGGAAACGAATAGTTTTGAAGATATATTGATTTGAAATGTCGCGTGACGTCACTTCTCAGTACATTTTATACTAAGAAATGACGTTTTACCCCCCACTCCTAAACTTTAACTCGTTTTATCTAAGTATTGTTTTATTATACGACAAAATAAAAAAATACGCGTCTAATATTTTTTTATTACCTAACTTACGGACTAATTATATTTTTAATTTTTATACCCTGTCAACATCCCCAATGGGTCCTATCAGAATTTCTCCTGTTAACTTTTGTTTATAAAATATAATATTAATATGTGATTTTTTGGTCAGTCTCCACTCAAAGTAGAATTGCAACATGTTGCATATAGTCAATGCCTCATCAATGTTTATAAATACACAGAGATGATGAAACATTTCGAAACACTGTTTGTAAACAGAACTTCTTGAGGACAGAATTTTAATTACACTATTTCAGAGAAGCCCTATGTTGCATTAAAGGCAACAAAATCATGGAGTTCATAAATTCATAACCTGGGTGTACCAGGTAAGAAATAGAGGTAAAGGGATGTTTACTATAAAATTTTCTAGCCCAATGGGATTGTTGGGCTAACTAAGATCTACCTAAGGATGAAGTGTTTCGGACACAAAAGGTAATATTTTAGGTAAAGTTAAAGGCTATAGAAGATCCAGGTTAACTAGCTATATATTTGAAACAAGGTGTCCAAATTATTTTTAATTGAGAACTTATTGGATTAAGTGTTCAGAAAAGATTCTATAGCAGGGTCTTTCTTGATCTTACTACTATTGTTATTCTATAAAGTTATAGTAAGGGCGATATCTCCTATCCATGCTGCAGGAAATAAGACCGTATGGTGCGGTGAAAGTAACTTGTTGAATTAGTTGAGCTGAGACAATTGGATTTTCAGAATACCATTAATTATCAATAGTATTAAATAAACCCCATAGTTTTAAAATATTATCAGACACAATTTATTTTAAAAAATAAAAAAATTCGCGGAAATTGTAACCTTACCTTGGTTTGTTTTTTGACTGTTTCAAACAACTTTGAAATGCATCGATGTCTTTCCAAAAGCTCAAAATTTTCTCCTCTTCTTTTGGAAAATCAATGTTTTCAGGTACTCGATTTACTTTTAAAGCCATTGTATTTTATAACCTTTTTAATTCCACGACATCATACACCACACTTGCGTCAGAAAACCAACATTTTGTGAAATGTCAAAGTTTTGTTTTTTTACACTAGGGACGTACCGCATATATACCGACTGTATCTGAATAAAAAAACCGGTAATACGGTACCCAACCACCCGACGATACAAATACAAATATGATAGTTAATTTTGTTTACAAATAACAAACTTAAATAATGTAATTATGGATAAATATATAACATAAAATTGACTAAAATATTAATAAAAAATAATAAATAAAAATACAAATACGTAAAAAAAATTAGATTAAAATGATTGAAATTGAAATGGACCTATGAACTACGAAGAAAGAGTAAAATAACAGTAGTTAGTTTACGAAGTAACAGTTAGCTTATGAAGTAACAATTTTGATTACTTTTCAAGGGTGGATTGCAACAAGACATTAAAGATTTTATACAATAGCAACAATTTATTATTTTGACACCACACCATTTGACACAGCAGAGAAAATGTGTCAACTCAATTTTACTATTTTGACTTTTCCAATCAAAAAGTCAAAACAAAGTTGTACAAAAAGTTGTAGATTAGTGCCTATTTTCTGTTTATTAAAAAACTAAACAATCACTTCTCTGCTATTTTATTTTAATTTTTAGTTTGAAGCAATGGAATGCAATTGGATAAAGATATCGCCAAGGTATATTGCTAAATTATTTGCAAGTTAGTGCACTTTTGTCATCACTTTATCCAACTTCAAATACAATGACATTTTTTTATTTCTTTTATAGTTTGAGCAAAGGTGTTGGAGTCATCAATCAGCTAGACGAAACGCGTTTCGAACAGTTCCTTCGTCGTATAGTTGCAAAGTTAAAACTTCAGAGTTCAGAAATATTTACAGAAGATGAAAGAACCAAGCTGGAGAAAATATTTGGTATTGATCAGGAAAGCTTAGTGTTGAGCATTAAAACTTTGCAATACATATTTAAAAGGATGCTAAAGTATATTTTTATGCCTGCCAACTTGAAAAATGATCTCAAAGGTATAGGATTTAATAATGAAAAGTCTGATTCACTAGTGAAAGTTTGGTCAGCAGAGACAAGAACAACTCTTAATGAACTTGGTTCTAAAACAAACGAAAACAGTGAATCTTTGAATTTTTCATGGAAGTTAAATGCTGAATTGAGCTCAGATTACCGAAAGAAGTGTAAGGTTCCGAAAGCTTATTTGTCACTAAGAGATACAAGAGACACTGAAATAGAATTGACCCATCCTGAGTTATATTCAATTTTTCTTCAATTTGAATCCATTCAGAATGACTTGGATAATTTAATTAAATAAATAAATATTTCTGGTATCAGTTATGAAAGTAAATTGGACTGATGTGATCTATGTGATGGACCAAGACAATGATGATAAATTATAAAATGCATAGGCAATATTGTTATTATGATAGAAATAAATATAACTATCCAGCGTAGATCTGAAAGCAATTTTGTAATATTTGGTTCTTATAGATAAAGATTAATTAAAATTTTACTGTAAAATATTTAATCACGAGATTCTATTTGTTACAGTTCTGTTATATCACTACTTATTATTATGTTGAATTGTAAAATCGATGTATCACAGTTTGGTACTGAGTATTTTATTTGTAAATATTGTTAATGTGGGTAAAACTTTATTCTAAATAAATATTTTTTCTAAATAATTTCTTTTATTTTAAAATGAACTTTTTAATCTATTGATAAAAATATCATATAGTTAAGAATCTCTTGCCCGATCCGTGATGGAACTAGAGATAGTATCCATGTCTAATATCCACCCACCAGAAAAAAATTAAAATGTGCCCATAATTGTAACTGATATTTTAAGTAGGCATAAAATTAATGAATAAGTATTTAAACATTGTAATTGCGAATCTGGAGTATGGTTAAAGAATATGTAAGATTACGCGATTGAAGCTGCAAAATATGAAGATAGAAATAATTTTACTCGGTCATAAAAATTATGTTTTGTAGGCTGTAGCTCAGAGCACGGTCTTTTAAGTAGTCTAATTGTCGGACTGTAAAATATTTATTTCCGCAAATTTTCTTTTATTTATTTAATAGCTTATTTATTTTAAATACTTAGATATCACATATTTTACTGATATGACTAAAAAGTATTATTAGGAACTTGCATGATCAAGAAGATCAAACAAAACAAACATGGCGTCTGTTAATTGATTACACAAAATTTTGAACTTGGTAACACAAGTTTACCCATACGTCAGAGGTTTTGGCAGCCCGCGGGTGAACTATTTTCTTCATTGTTGACCTTTCCTAAATCTTAGGTGTAATTATTTCATCATTAGACGTACTCTGGCTGCACCCTTATTATCTAGTATACATATTTAGTCAAAGTTTCGGCGATGGACTCCGAAGATGACACAAAGGATGATGTGGATTCTGGGAATGAGTCTAGCGGAGACGATGTCGACTTTGCAATGGACGTTGAGACACACAGTACACGGGAACGACAAACGGAGCTTGAGGAATATCGATATGAGGTGTTATCCACGGAGGAAATCGTTCAGCATATGGTTGACTGCATCAAAGAAGTGAACACTGTTGTCGAGGTCAGTATGTTAGTGGTAAACAATGGACTGATGGAATGAGGTTACTCGTACACTGTTGTACTTCTCCGAGTTCTTTTGTGTCGCATTCCAAATTGTTTGTGTTCGATATGGTGAAACATTCCGCGTTACTAGCCTAGCTGTGATTGCAGTTTGGCAATGTTCAGTGCTAACTGCTTGGGTAGAATACTCTTGTTCCACAAACCTAATTTTCATATAAATTAGAAATAACAATCGTTTCACCTTGTTAGTTGTTATTTATGTTGCCATATCTACAATGCAATAGTGCATGTTCATAGTAATCAGTAAAGGAAATAGTTGCAAATAGAATGTATGAAAATAATGTAACAAAGGTTTTCTTGAAGTAGGAATGAGTCATAACAATGATGACTGTTTTGATAATTATCTGATGCTAAAATAATTCTCTGTTTATGTATGAGCATTAAGAAGTGTACATAACAATATTGCCATTGTCAAATATCATGATAACATACAAAACACTTGTATTATTTTGTTTGACAAATAAAGATTTTAACAAGTATGGTTTTGCTTGTATAAATCTATAAAAGCATAGAATAGACTTTCTCTCGTAAGATTTTTGTATAAACTAAAGTAACCAATTGGATTTTCAGATACCAGCAACAACAACCCGCATACTCTTAAACCATTTTAAATGGGACAAAGAAAAGCTCATGGAAAGATTCTATGATGGGGACCAGGACCAGTTGTTCTCTGAAGCTAGAGTCATTAATCCATTCAGAAAACCAGTCATACAAAGGCCGAAGGTATGAAAAGATTTATTTACATTACAAGGTTGTTTACAAATTAAAGTTACATTTTTCAAATAAATATCCTGTTAGCAAGGTTGGCACAAAAGTTACTTATTTGCATTAGTATATGAAGTGTAACCTCAATTATAATTTCCAATAAGAAATTGAGCAATGGGAAATCCAAAGCGGTTTCCTTTAACATCATTCTTGCTGTAACTGTGCTTAGTCTTTTTGAAATGCTAATAGTTTTTTGCTGAATAATATTATTCTAAAGTCAGTTATAGTGGAAACTTTTCACAATACATTTTGATGAGACCACAAAATCATTATAATTATTTACCTACAGTATATTTATTTTGATGTATCAACATGACCCAGAAAAATAACTGAAGCAACATTATAATATGTATTAAGTATTTATTTATTTATCTGACTAACTATTAATAACAAAACTTATTACCAATGTTATGAAGATTTTTGTGTTTCTTATGGATATTTTAAAAGTATTTGACAAGTTTTAGTAATATTTCATTTATAATTTTGTCATTACTAAGCTCTCAAAGTAATGTTTAGTTATCAGTTTTAACAGTGAAAGACTACTAGTTATTTCAGAATCACATTGACCTCAATGAAATACTTTATAGTGATGTAGGCAAAAAAATAGTTCAATTTTTATCTGAGAAATGACTCAGAGCACTATTTTTGTTCTAAACCTGACCAACACAACATATTTCTGCTTACTCTTTACCTTATGTATCATAACACATAAATTGGCATAAATCCAATGTATGCACTTTAACTGAATCTAGATCTGTCTGATAAGGAAGTGCATTCTTATCAGTATGCAGTTTCCAATAGGTATTTCATTGTAGTCTCTCATTATGGTATGACTCAATCCAATTATGAGATTAATTTTTAACCTTTAATACACAGGTTACATTTCCACTATTTAGGATTTATATTTTAAAGATATGTACTATGAACTATTGTTTTAACTCGTTGATTACCGACTTTGTAGACACAATTATACAACAATAGGTTGCGGTCACCGGTGACCGCTTGGTGTTTGACAGTTTAACTTGTCCCGTCTTTGTATCCTCTATATTTTATTAGAAGCCATAGATATACAGCATTGGTCAGTATGAATATTATGACCCCATAAACCAAGTTTTTACCAATAGATAATGTGATTCCTACTTTCCTATGGTTCAGGTGTATAATTTATTATGGTTTTAAAACCACAACGAGAAAATTACTGTACAATTTTTGGCTATCTACTAAGTAAATCAACAATCTGTAATGCAAGGTGTACGTAAAATTGATAAATATAAAAATAAATAATATTATTGTTATTGTTACAGTTACCCAGACGGATATCAACATCAGGGACAGAGGAATGCGAAATATGTTTTTCAGTTCTTCCAACATCTGTGAGTTTGTTTTGAAGTTTATCTTGTTTTTGTTGCCCCTAGGAAACTGATAAGATATGAATAACATTAGGTTTTTCACCTTTAGTACTCATATCTGAACTATTGTGATTTAAGTGATATGCAGATTTTTTAATGATTATTTCGATTAATATTTAGTTTATCAAAATGTCTAGAAAAGTACATTGACACCAATTAAGTTTGTTTGTATTCAAATTAATTATTATTTAAAAACCTTTTAGAGCCAATGTTCCCAATGCCATATAAATTTTAACTGAGGAATTCAAAACAATTCCTCCATACTAAAAACTGTCAAATGTCAATTTTTTATTGTACAGTTATGAATTAACTGATGATAAAAAATCGGCCCTTAATCAGTTAAAAACCTTGTTCTTAATGTTTATAGTCTTTCTTCTGTGTGAATCAAGTCAGTGATTTGGAATTACTGTAAAGACAAATGCTTTATTATATGACAACAAGCATTTTATAGCTGCTGAAAAAGGCCTCACTAATGCACTTCAAAATATCCTTTGAATGTGTTAGTTTTTCCATAAATCGTATAATGAGGTTAAATACATTGATTATGGGTACACATAGTATATGAATGAGGTCACATCACAATGATAGTGCTAGATATTATTCTTATACATTTTTCCTCATCCTTATAGTTTCCTTGTTTTTATATTATTGTTTAAATTTATTTTAGTATTATTGTGTCATTTTGGACTGCCTCATTGGCCGAGTGGTCGCAACTGCGACTATCGGGCAAGGGGTCTCGGGTTTGGTTCCCGGGTCGGGCAAAGTATTATTGGGTTTTTTAAGAAAACACAGTAGAAGCACGAAGTCTGGAGTTCTGCCCGGTATATGGCAATAAGCTCACCCCCTATTAATAGTGAAAAGTGGGTGTTACATTGTACAGTGGCATTAATTGCCGTAATGTGCTCCTCTGCCTACCCCTTCGGGGATAAAAGGCATGATGTTATGTTATGTTTGTTTAAATTTGTTTGCTACATAAAAACAAAGATATGTTTACTTATTCTTGGATTAAATTAGACTGGAAGTTTGCATTCAGGGACACCAGGACTCCAATGTTTACGTAAAAACTTTTTTATAACTTACATGAACTTCTGATTCTTACACATAATTTGATATATTTGTATTATAACTTTCGTGAGACGTACATAATTATTATGTTTTTCGGCTAAGTCACGTAATTATAATTAACGAGGAACTCGACTAGTTTCAAGTTATGCTAGAGGCTCATCATATTCATGAGTTGCATTGCGACCCGAAACGCGGCGACTGTCGCGCTGTTACAGTGCTAGTCGAGTTCCTCGTCGATTAACATGAAAATACGTGAGTAAGCCGAAAAACATAATAATTTATAATCTGATACTATTATATAAAGCGGAAGTTTGTTTTTTTGTTTGTTTATTTGAACGCGCTAATCTCCGTAACTACAAGTCTGATTTGAATATTTCTTTTTGTGTTGGATAGCGCACGACCAATAGGAGCTGAGCAGAGCGTGTGAAACCGCGCGGAAGTAGCTAGTGTGATATATTGTCAGGACTTTAACAGAGACTGTGACTTCTGAGTTTGTTTGGCGCTTCCTCTCAGAGTAGGAAATGCCTTATCTATGAAATGTTTCCAAGTGCTGTTTCGTAACCTTTTTAAAAAAATAAATTCATCGTTTCATGTCATGTGCCTAATACCAACATGCATTCGTCAATCCTTACTTATTCCTTACTTATATTATAAATCGGAAAGTGAGTTTGTTTGTTTGTGCCGCTTTCACGCCGCAACTACTAAACCGATTGCTTTGATTTTTTGCAGACGTAAAGTTAGAAGTCTGGATGAAATAATAGGGTACTTTTTATCCCGGAATAATTTGATATTCTCGAGGAAAAACGAAATCATTGATATAGATGGCGCTGTGTGTATATGTCACATAGGTTACTTTTATCTTTTTGTGACGCGAGCGAAGCCGCGGGTAAAAGCTAGTAATTAATATTAATAATTATTGATTATTATAGTTCAATCAAAAACTAATAATTCACTTAATTCCTCTAGCCTACTTCTTTTCAGAAATAACAGATGTCCTGCTCCTTTAAATATATTCCTTTTCAAGTGTGACTTTGGTTTTTGATAGTGAACATGTTTTAATATTTGTTATTTATGTTTACAGCTGATGACAGGTCTGGAGTGTGGCCACAGATTTTGCACACAATGTTGGTGTGAATATTTAACTACTAAAATAATGGAGGAGGGCCTAGTAAGTATTGTTTACATTAATATGATAGATTTAATAAACTTTATTCATAATTCAAAAATACAAAAATATATCGTAAATACGTACAATTGTCAATGTTAAATGCCTGCACTAGGACAATCCTGTATCGCAGGCGAGGGGAATTCTAAATATAATTCTTATAGTAACACATTTTATTTCTACAGACACATATACTAAACATTTTACAACAGAAAACAAATAGGATAATACAATCAAGTTTGTACATTATGCCTACCCAATGTGATTACAGTGAATCCTTAAATGAATAGCCCATAGTAATGGATTAATAATTATAGTTTATTTATTCAGATAACTGAGATACATCAACTGTCCCTGTTGGGATTATCTCAGGCTGTAGTATCAGACAGTGAAATCAATCAGAGAGATAACCTTTCTCCATTGTGTAGAAGAGTAAAGAGACATTTAAAAAATAATAGAGAAAATATTTCTCTTAATTCTGAGTTTAAATGGCAGTGTTCGCTGTATTCTTTTAAAACGAGCTGAACTGCATATTGTTTTAATCGTTACAGACAGTCACTTTTCATCAATAACATAATAATTAATCGAATGCAAATTAACGCGCAAAGTCGTCGAATAAAAATCGGTCATGACTCATGGACATTAGGAATAAATTTGCAAGGCACATTTACATTTTAAAAATTTATTCAGTCATAAAGGTTATTTGTTATGAATAACCAAATAAATGCTTATATTAACTGTGCAGAAATCCACGAGTTTGTTTCGTTTAAAGTAATCAAAACGAGACCGTCGTGTGTCGATCCGCCGGGCCACCAAGTGTCGTGGTGGCCTTAGGTGAGGTTTAAGGCGCCCGCTTCTCATGCATGAGTGTGCGGGTTCGAAACCTACCAACGGCAAGTACCAATGTGACGTTTTCCGAGTTGTATGTACTTTTTAAGTTTGCTCAGATACCACTGAACAACGGTGAAGGAAAACGTCGCCAGGAAACCTGGGTTTTTAATTTCTAATTGTATGTTTGATTACGATACAGGAAAAAGAAACAATAAAGATTTTGGGAAGATAAGATTTTTGATGCGCGATGCGTATCAATTCGCAAGATCTTGCGATGCGTCGAGGGAGCTTGCACATTTTGCGATGCGACGTCGCATCGCAGTTTTGTGTACGATCCCTCAGAGCACCGAACGCGGTCGGTCTCGTTTCGATTAGGTACTTTAAATGTAAAACGAACTCGTACCAAGGCCTGAGTACAGAGTACCAAGCTCGAATAACTATCGCCATCGTAACGTAATAGTATCGAGCGCGAGCCGGCCAATCAGAGCGCCGAACGCACTCGATGCTAATACGTTACGATTGCGACAGTTATTCGTGTTTGGTACTCAGTAGTAGATTGTAGACTACTGATTTAAATAAGTAGGTATCTATTAACTAGTTTATCTACGTAGATAAAGACATTGGGGATTTGTATGACGTGAATCATGTTGTTGATACGATTTATTATTAATTTCACGTCATTGTACCCTGTCATTAGTTTACCACGGTTTACTGCCTTATTAGTGTAATGCGCTAACTTCAGGTTCGATTCCTGAGTGTGGCAAACATACATGGATGAAATGACATACATGTGTGTATTCAGTTGTGTACACAACTGAAAATGATTGAACTGCTAAAAAGCGGGTGTTAGGTTTAACACACTAATTTACTATGTAGATAAGAAAATAAAGATCGACTTTGTACGACTTTAAGACAGTAGCTATTATTATATATTTATACTTAACTAGCTTCTATCTGCGACTTCGTACGCGCAATCCTGTTTTCGCCCGTTCCCGTAGGATTTTCAGGATTTTTCTGTCTTAAGAAACTTCTCCTAATAATAACAAATACAACAAAAAAAAAATAGTGAAATCGGTCCAGCCATTCACGCGTGATGCCGTGACCAAGGCAAAAAGGAAAGGGATTCATTTTTATATATATAGATTATGTATATTTTATCATGTATAGTTTTAAACCAAACAACTGATGGGTATTTTTACTTTTTTTGTTTTAAAAAACCTTGCTTAACACTAATATTCTCCTGTGTCATGGGTGCGTTTACAAACATTCAATTTCATATGCCCATGACACCCAGACCAAAAATAACAATCTGTGGATCACACAAATAGTTGTTCCGTACGGGAATCGACCCCCGAACACGTTACGCGGCAGCCGGTTGCGCAGTCAACTGCACTGTTGTTACTTGTACGTTGGTTACTATCTCTGTAGGTTCTGAATCAATCTTTATTTTATCTTTATTACCTGCATAGTGCCTCGTTGGCCGAGTGGTCGCAAATGCGACTGCCGGGCAAGGGGTCTCCGGTTCGTCGGGCAAAGTATTACTGGTTTTTTTTAAAGAAATTCTCAGTAGTAGCACGGAGTCTCGAAATATGCCCGGTGTATGGCAATAGGCTCACCCCTTATTACATGGGACTCATAACATAAATAGTGAAAAATGGGTGTTACATTGTACAGTGGCATGAAGCGTCGTAATGTGGACCTCTGCCTACCCATTCGGAGATAAAAGGCGTGATGTTGTGTTATTTTATGTTATTACTTGCATAGTGAAAAGCTGTGCTGACTGTACATTCAAAATGCCTCCTTGTCTACCATTTTATCACTTATGTGTGTATATTTTATCATAGTTTTGTATTATAGTTCTTAATGTGATGTGATAGGGTCAGACAATAGCGTGCGCGGCTCACGCGTGCGACATTCTCGTGGACGACGCGACCGTCATGCGACTGGTGCGGGATCCGCGCGTCAAGCTCAAGTACCAACACATTATCACCAATAGCTTTGTTGAGGTATGTATACAATTTTTATTATTATTATCGTAATTTATCAAACATCCATTGTTGCCATTGCATAAAATAGGGTAAATGCCTAATTTTTATTTTAATGTCCGTCTGGTAGATTATTTTAAATCATTAGATTATTATTTTAATTATTTTAATTTCTTACAGAAACGAATACTTTCGACGATATGTTTGATTGATTTGAAATGTCGCGTGACGTCACTTCTATGTACATTTTATACGTAGAAATGACGTTTTAGCCCCCACTCCTAAACTTTGATTCCTTTTATTTAAGTATTGTTTTATTATACGACATAATAAAAAAAATACGTGTCTAATATTTTTTCATTATCTTTAAATAATTTTCATACCCTGTCATCATCCCAATTACTATTTAGGTACTTCATCATTTTATTTTGTCGTTTACTGGTCAGAACTTGAGACTTCTTTGTCATTCTCACATGCATTATATGTTTATAATATTGATATAGGTATATGTATTCTTTCATTAGATACTGTTAAGTATTTGAGACTATATTAGATACTGTTAAGTAGTCAACTTATGCACCGAACACGCTCTCACTGCATCACCTAACGGTTGTCTAGTAAGAATGCCCATAGCATTAAACCCGCCTATGTACTCTTGTTGCATAAAGTTAAATAAAAAAATAAATTAACGATGGAAGTTTCAGATGAACATCCCATTTAATTTTTAAGTTCTGAAAATGATGAAGTTACACACAACGCTACCCGTTACATTTGAACCATGCGGCTTTTCTAGAAGATTCTTTTATGTAGAAAGAAAAATATCAATTTTCTAGTTTGGAATTCAGGGATGGTTGGCGAATTGGGTAAAATGATTGTACTATCAAGAGCTACACTTCGATCTAAAACATTTAGTTACATTTTATTGTCTTAAAGAACTAACTGTAAATTATGTATGTAATTACTAACTAAATGAAGTAAATATTCCTGTGTATAGTGTAACCGGCTGCTTCGCTGGTGTCCGTCCCCGGACTGCAGTAATGCGATCAAGGTGGCGTACGTAGAAGCCGCGCCCGTCACGTGTCGCTGCGGACATACCTTCTGCTTCGCCTGCGGAGAGAACTGGCATGATCCTGTACGCTGCTGTCTGCTCAAGAAGTGGATTAAGGTAAACAAGGATAAAGTATGTATACATTCATCACCTTAGTTTATTTATTTTTTCACAATATACATAAACATATTTACAGGTACAAGGAGATTGAAAAAAAGGCGAATATATGGTCACTTAGAAATTATTGGAGCACTAAAATGTTTTTTTTTGATGTGTGTGTGTGTAGGGGGATTACCACGTTACCAGACTTAGGAAAATGACAGATGTCCATCGTGCCAATGTTCTGCGTGTAAATCTATAGTAGCCAGGTGCCGCGGAGAACCTAACGGGTTACCGGGGCTCCGGCTCGAAGTGCAGGAGTAGGAACGGGGTGGTTTTTAATCAGTAAGAGTCTGTCACTCCCTACCGCCTTACCTAGGCGGGAGAACTCATTCCGTGGTTTTCCCTCTTTAAATAAAAAAAATAATAGCCAAGTGCCACAGGCGTTGTTTCAAGATACCGTGTTCACCTTTTTTTCAACGACCTTGTGTAGGACCCTACAAGACCTCATACATGACCCTATATGAACTAAGTAACAATTATAATCACTAATCACCTTATCTATTACATTAAATTATAATAACAAATCATACTAACTTTAACTGTCACTAAATTTTTATAATGTTCACTATTAACTCATAGTAACTTAATATAATTTAGCATAATTTGGTTTCCAATATAGATATTGGAGAGTGTGCTTTGAATCATTCATCAATTACCATCATTTTCATTATTTTAAAAGACAATTCTCATTATTTTAAAACTTTGATTAGTCAGATCACTGAAAATGTGAGTGATGCCTCGTATAGCCAGGGGCCTAGTGCTCACATTAATGTAAAAAAGTTGAGACTTTTTTATGTTAATGTTACCGCGTTTAGCACTCTGATTGGTTAGTCAATTGGAGCAGGCCAATCAGAGTGCCGAACGTCATAAACGTGTCGATCGCATTAACGTATAATAAACTCGCTCTAGGCCAATTTACAACAATATTAGACCGACACAGCGACGATCAAAAAGTTCAGTAAAATAATATTTTGATTTTGATAATTTAGAGTAAAATATAGTTTTTAATCTACTTCCCAAAAAGGAGGAGGTTCTCATGAAGTAATTCGTTTGTTTGCGCGGATCTGCACTAATCACGAGGTTTAAGTTCATTTTAGTGTTTCAATGATGGGTCCCTGTTAGATTACTGGACTTTTTTACAAAATAATATATATAACAACCACATAAAATCCATTTCTCTGTAACAGAAATGCGACGACGATTCAGAAACGTCGAATTGGATCGCAGCAAACACAAAGGAGTGTCCGAAATGCAACGTGACGATCGAGAAGGACGGCGGCTGCAACCACATGGTCTGCAAGAACCAGAACTGTAAGGCAGACTTCTGCTGGGTCTGTCTCGGACCCTGGGAGCCACACGGCAGTAGCTGGTATAATTGTAACAGGTTCGTTGAACATTTATTAATAAAATTAACTGTTCAGTCCCCAAGCGGTCACCACTCGTCACGACCTCCATTATAGACCTTATTTCCGATTTTTAGAGACTACTTTTGTATGAACAAATTTTGGAGATTTTCGGTACGATATATCAACGTATTAAACAGTATTTTCTAATTATATAACATGTATTCTAATATGTAGTGTAGTTTTAGAGGTTCAATCCCCCTTAAGGACATCTGATTCCTTCGTCCTTGTGTTGGTACACTTGTTGGTGTGGGTGTGTAAAAAACAATTTCTAAAAATTTGTGACGACGCCTACTTAGAATTGACATTGACACATCCAAGACAAGGACAGACAGAATAAGGCTAATAACATAAATTAAGCCCAAAGTCAAAGTCAAAATCATTCATTTCAACTAGACCAGGAAGGCACTTTTGGACGTTAACAAAAATTTAGAAGTGAAGCTAGTTGCTCATGCCAAGGTGTTAGTGATTGTTGAGAAGAACGAGCTAGAAACTCAAGAAAAGAAAAAAAGATCGAACAAGAACGAGTAACTCCACCACTGAACATAGACTACCCCCCCGTGACGTTCAGAACTAGTTTGACGTAACTTGCAACTACATAGCAGCCTTGTAGTAAACACACTTGAATTAAACTATTGTACAACTAGGTACGACGAGGACGAGGCGAAGGCGGCCCGCGACGCCCAAGAGAGGTCGCGAGCGGCGCTGCAGCGCTACCTGTTCTACTGCAACCGTTACATGAACCACATGCAGTCACTGCGCTTCGAGTCCAAGCTCTACGCCTCCGTCAAGGAGAAGATGGAGGAGATGCAACAGCATAACATGAGCTGGATCGAGGTACGTACTTGATTTTTTATCGATGTGAAAATTAAGTCTATACATTCTGACTTTTTGTCTTTTACGATTTCACGCTTACAGCTCTGAATCTGTATTACGTGGTATAGTGATATTTTTCAACGTTTGATAGTTTTAAATTACACATTTACGCTGTGAAACTGCATTTTGATGTTTTGTGTGTAGTTCTAAGGTAATTTTTCGAGAATAAGTAGTAAAATTGTACTAATTACTTGTGTGCTAAACAGCTAACACTGCCAGTAAGTCTAATAAACATTTTCAACACAATATTAAAACCTTTGTTCCATTAGACAAATGTATTTATGTCTTTAATACTCTCCAGGTCCAATTCTTGAAGAAGGCAGTAGACATCCTATGCCAGTGCCGACAGACCTTGATGTACACGTACGTGTTCGCGTACTACCTACGCAAGAACAACCAGTCCGTCATCTTCGAGGACAACCAGCGCGACCTGGAGTCTGCCACGGAGACTCTCTCCGAGTACCTCGAGCGTGACATCACCAGCGAGAACCTGGCTGACATCAAACAGAAGGTCCAGGATAAATATAGGTTTGTGTCCTTTAATAATGACACTTTGTCCCTTTATGCGTGCCGGTGGAAGGTTGCAAAACCTAATAAGTCCTTATTCCTGTCGTATATACATTTTTATAAAGGACTAGCTACTTCCGCGCGGTTTCACACACTCTGCTCAGCTGCTATTGGTCGTAGCGTGATGGTTTATAGCCGATAGCCATCTACGATAAATGCGCTATCCAACACAAAAAGAATTATTCAAATCAGACTTATAGTTACGGAGATTGGCGAGTTCAAACAAACAAACAAACAAAAAACAAACTCCTCCGCTATATATAATAGTATAAGATAGGAGGACAGATCTATCTATTTGACTTGCAAGATGTTTAGCCTGTGAAGTGTCAGAACGCAGATACGCGGGAAACGATGTGTTTTCTATTGCGTCTATCTTCTGTGTTTTCTATTGGGTATATCGACGGACAAGAGGTTAATGAAAAACACACACCGCATGTCCTACTCACACTATGATATGACAAATATGACCTTATAGTCCAGAATGTAAAGACGAGGTATTTTAACGTTTTGAAGAGTTTACACTATGTCGGTAATTGTCGGCAGATACTGCGACAGTCGGCGCAAGGTGTTGCTGGAGCACGTGCACGAGGGCTACGAGAAGGACTGCTGGGACTACACAGAGTAACTTGCCTCACTACACTCACGGACACACACCGCCCCGCGCCACCCCGCGGTCACTCCCGCGGCACGCTTCTCTTTCTATCCTATATAGACTAAAGGCTGCGAACAAAATCACATTATATCACCTTTCTCCTCGAATCTGACAAATTCTACTTAATTGAGAGAACTCATTTCTATACTGACTTAGACTAATTGATGTGGATAGTGATTAGTTGGAAGGTTCTAGAATTATTCCCGCTGGTCCAAGTTCAGCTTTAGCATAATAAACCTAACATGTTTAACAAACAACCCATGCCTGTAATGATTCTAAATATATCTGTAATTAAGAAGCCGGTCTTCCGTAAAGACAAGGGATTTTTGACTTTTGAAATAGTAATCTACTTAATGACTACTCAACTCGATAGGCACTTGAGCTAATTATGTAATTGTAAAATGTTCATGACGATGTAAATAGGTATTAACAAATTGAAATCAAAAATAAAAATTTAATGGCGCTAGACGCAATGCTATTGTTTTTGCAGCTTGATTAGTCACAATTTTTAATATAAATAGGTAATATTTTATAAATCCTAAGGCCACCATAATGATTGTTGTATTAATTCAACGACAATTTAATTCAAAGTAATATAAATGGTTTATTTTCGTAAATTAACGGCTTTTATTGATGTCTTCCTCCTGGTGATGCGGACCTATGCTCAGTTGTCGATCACAGACTACCACGGACTGGACCAAAGACCTCGTATTGGTTAAAATATCCGAAATTTGCAGTGACAGTTAATTTCAGATGACGTAATATCTTCAAATATTACAGTAAATATGTATGCAAATTGTTTTAAATTAACCTTTTGACTGCTACGTAAGTTTATACATGGCAAATTAAAAATGCATACGACGCAATGTTTTTGACGTCTCGTTCATTTTTATTTTGCCCGTATGTATCTGACTTTAATAGAAATCTTCGTGGTGGTTACTGGGTCCTCTCCCTATTAGACAGTTCAGGTGATATTATAGTGTACAAGTATGTACGCAAATACAAATTCACTCTATGCTCTGTCAGTCTCATAATATTAGATGAAATCCATTTAATAAAACTATAAAGATGTCATATCGCATGTTCAGATCCAATCTTTAGTCATTTGATAAAAAAATACTAACTGTATTTACTACTAAAAGCAATACTTATTCATTAAAATCTAATGACATTAATATCTAAAGATTGGTTGTCGATGATCTGTAATGGATTACAATGAAGAAATAAAAAAAGTCACTAGAATTTGGTGCAAGTTTGTCTCGTTACGTTACAGTAATTTCTCTCTTTGGATATTGAAGTATAGTTCGGGAACACAAAATGTGCGAGCAAGGTATTTTTAGACTTATTTTGAGTTTTAAATTATTAAGGTGTGTGTTTTAGATTACAAAAATATTGGTCATATATTATTATTGTACTGTAAGTACATTGCCTACCTCTTCCGTCGTAGATTCTTAATAGTTTAATGTCTGAGCCGCAGTATATTGTTTTCGCTACTCAATGATTTTGTTTCTCTCGCATAAATATATGCATGTTGTTATTACACCACACTAGGATTTTCTCCTATATCGTTAACAAACAAACAAGTTCACATACCCATGACACCCAGACCCGGAACAACAATATGTGAATCACACAAATAGTTGCTCCGTGCGGGAATCGAACCCGCGACACGTTGCGCACCGCACCAACAGTGCTATCGACCTCGCTATCCATCGTCTATTACTTTTCCCGAGTGTACGGTGCGTCGCGTTCCGCGCGCGCCTCAAAGAGCCTGCAGACCACCACAGATGGCGCCCAATAGGGCTAATGCCGATACAGAGCCGTGGAGGACTTAACAGGTTACCGGGGCTCCGGCTCGAAGTGCAGGTATAGGAATGTGGTGGCTTTTAGTCAGTAACAATCTGCCACTCCCTCTCGCCTTATCGGGGCAGGAGATATTCGATAATTTTACCCCTTAAAAAATATCGTCGGTTTTCCTGTGGTCTCTCTCGTCGAATGCATGTGAATATCGCCTAATGATGATCGACTGTCAACTTTGTCGATTGTACTTACCTTAATTTACCTTATATTACTTTTTAATATTATATATACAGTGGCTTTTTTTTAAGGGGGGGGAAATCATCGATTGACTGCTCCCGCCTGGGTGAGGCGGGAGGGAGTGTCAGACTCTTACTGACTAAAAACCACCCCGTTCCTTCTCCTGCACGTCGAGCCGGAGCCCCGGTTACCCGTTAGGTTCTCCGCGACTCCGAATCGGCATCGGCCCTATTGGGCCTCATCTGTGGTGGTCTGATGGCTCTTTGAGGCGCGCGCGGAACGCGCCGCGCCGTACGTTCGGGTCTGTTTCTGGTCGGACGGGGAGCCACCCATGCTCGCCGTCCGCAGTCCCGCGCTTACGGTGGCCGGAGATCGTCTCGCGATCCCCGACGCTCGGTGTGTCCTTCGCGATGGCTGGGTTGCGAGGAGGCAGCGCTTCGCTGCCTCACGCGTCCCGCCTCCTGCTTAGCTAGCATGACTGCTCCTGTCCCAGTCCCCCTCGCTCCGCATCATGGCCTGCACTAGGCCCGGACGCGAGAGGTCGCCATCGCCGATCACTTCCCCGAGGGCACGGCGGTGCTCAGCCCACACGGCATTCTCCCACTGTGTGTTTCACCGTGTCCTCAGGGCGGTCCTCGCAGTGATGACACCCAGGCGTTTCCTCCCGCCCTATCAGACACAGGTACCTCCCGAAACTTCCATGTCCGGTGAGGACCTGCGTCAGGCGGTAGGTGAGGACGCCGTAGCGTCTCTCAAGCCACTCCTCAAAGAGGGGACTTACCGCTGCAATGGCAGCGAGCCCAATATACAGCGGCTTAGACATACATTTTAACAGACTTAAATAATCTATATGAGTTTATGAAATATCTTCCATAAGTCGAGAGAGACTTATACACATTATCAAAGATAAATATATTATTAATAACTAAGGTTTTAACTACAAAAAAAAAAGCAATAAAATATAAGATATCAAGAATTTGATATGAATTTACGATTATTTTGTTCATACATTGGGTGGAGTAATTGGCTAGCTTTTATTTCTATTTGGAAATCGATCTATATTGCCAAAAAAGGCTATAAATTATGTTATTTGGTTGAAAGTCATGGAATAAGACATAAATAGTTCATTCTAATGTTTGCTTATTTTTTTTGTGATATAAGATGTGTGTGCCAGTGTTTCGTGTGTGATCAGAGCAGGCAACAAAATGCTTATTTTTCAGTAGTAATACTAAAAAAACTGTCGGACGCGGTCAATAAATATATTTTCCTAGCACTTTTTCTAATTTTGTCACTATAAAAACTTTTATGAAACAATATAGGAAGAATATAAATTACTTTAAAACTCTTCATGATGAGGTGGGCCGTAACCAGCAGTTTTTTTTTAATTAGTTAGCAAACGGATTGTTCATATCTATAAACCGTGAAAATTTAATATGACTTATTTGAATTTAAATTGATTAAGTAATTGAATTTGTTTTATTTTAAATTATTTTTCGACATAATTTATCTTCTAACTTTCGTATGATATACTAAATTAATTACTATATTTTTCGGCTTATCCATAATTGCTTTATACTCTGTGAAAAGCTGTTCACGAATATGAGTCTCAAACAGTTACGTTCAAGCTGAAAAATATAATAATTAATTACGATCATTTTTATTTTTACATTTACGACTCGCTTGATCACGTGGCGGTCCTTGATTGCCAATAAAAAAGTAGCATGATTTTAATTTTTGTGTTTCTGGAACTAAATTGACTGATTACACTGTGATCCTAAGCCCTGTAAGACAAGTTTGAGTTGTCGTAGAAGATTATTTATTGAATATAATCGGCCGTGTAATCGAGGGCTGCTTACGTCAGCGAGTACCAAAGAACACCGTTATAGAATCGATTATGATGTGATTTCGTGACGGCAGCATTTAGTCCTGAGCTAGGGTACTGGTACTAAAGTCGCGTACACACTGCTACATCTCGTTACATACATAAGTCCTCACATTATAAACGTTCAGATCTCCTCTAATTGTAATAGAGTTCATTTTATATTTTTGTTCGACTGTAAACTTAGAATTTATTATTTTTAATATTAATCATTTTTTTATTATATTTTAAAGTCGTCTTAGCATCGTGTAAATCACTTAGTGTAGTAGAAGTTTGAATCTATGTATTACGACCTCATTTTCATGGTAATGTAAAATATTACGATGTACTATAAGTTCACGTAGCGGTGGTTTGTTTTACTGTCGACCATTCTCGGTAACGAGAACAATAAAAGTCTTTTTTTATAAAATAGCACAATACAATCGGTTAAGAAGAAACAAAAAATATTTTTACCAAATAAACCTATTTTTGTTATTAGATTACTGTAAATCAATATAAAACTATTAGATCAGCACTTAGTACGTTTTCATTCTGTGATCAAGTTACATTATAACGCCTGAAGACCTACAGTGTGGTCTCGAGGGCGACCGCGGCGCTCGACGTCTCTGCTCACTTTATTCAAATAATATTTAATGTACTATAAATATGAAGTTTTCCAATGACATTAACGACTGGTATTGTAATATTTACTAGATAGGCTTTGGAGTCGCGAACGTTTTCAAGCTAAAAAACCCCATGTTCACTAATAACTCTGTACTAACAAATCATTTCGACGCCGTATCCTAACGTTAGCAAAGTCCACAAATACATAACTACATATTTTCGAAAGTTTTGATTCACTATAATCGGCTTTTTTATAAAGTAACTCTCGCGCTACATATCTGTCATTAATAAATAAATAAATCGGTGAATTGTGGTACGAAATGTGCACAAGTGAGCTGCACTGCCAGTATATGTCGTAAATTATATAAGTAAGCTTGTTCTACGGGGTCCACATAGTGGGCGCTGTACTAGTGTAGGAGGCCCGCCCCTGACACGCTCGGCCACTACCGACACATTCTACTTAATACTGAGGGCTTCGAAACGTACACACATACTATTGTACATATAGATGCTGTATAGATATTTATATGGTGGATATGCATATGTATTGACAAGCATCTCGTATGTGTGTCTATGTTAAGGACACATTTGTCTTAAGTAACACTAAGATGGAAATAAAATAGTAACATCGAAAGGAAGTTTGTTATTTAACTCATTGTCCTGCCCTTCCCAATGTTCCTCAGTCCTTCCAGAAAGCCAAAAATAGCATGATAATTATCTATATTGAGAATTTCGGGAAACCGCAGCCAGTTACGCAGCTTTAGCTGGTTTAAGGTATATTTATTATTATTTATCAAATAAATGTACGTAGATGATGTCAGCTTACGTTTTGTAGCCACAGCGTAACGTGCAACACAAGGTGCTACGCAACGTGCCATGAGCGGTGTAGCCGTAGCACGTTCGTAGTTTCGTAGCCAGCTACGCATTTGCTAACAGTGTGGTACGATTACGTAGGTACTCTTTTGTGGAGAACCAGTTATGGGTTCGCTAGCAATGCAGTGGTACGTATAACTACATAAACAACAGCAGCTGTAGCCAAATGCCATTTAGCGCTTGTCTACATGTAGAATAGAAAACTAAATTATATGGAATTGACGTAAATTTTGACACTTATCAGTGTCATCCCCTTACATTTAGTTTTCTACTCTCTCTGTAGAGACAAGCGCTAAAGTGGCGTTTGGCTAAAGGCACTGAGTAGTCTGTTACGTACGTTACTGGATAGTACGTTGTCCATAGCTGCGATGTAGCGTAGCAATGGATAACGTAGGCATAGCACTTTCCTGGGTTAAACGTAGCCTGCGACGCTCTCGTAGGAGTCAGGGCTACGAAAATATTGTACGTAGCTTTTGAGAATGGTATGGATGGACAGCGTACACGTAGCATGTAGCGTGAATGTGGTTAGGTACGCAGTGCTACGCTTTCGCTGGGTAGCGCTACGACTACGTTGTTCGTAGCAGTGAATGGTTCGAGAGATGGATGGTGTAGTCGCAGCAAATTCGTAGTGAGAACGTAGCGTCGCTACGCTTTCCCTACTAGGCGCTACGAGTATGTTGCTCGTAACACGGCAGGCAATGTTTTAATAAAACGGCAGGTAACTGTTACACAACGCAACGCTAAAATTACAAACACATTCGACGGACACCAAATAATTTTTATAAAGGCTAGGATCTAGGAGCTTACGTCTAGTTTATTTTAGTCCGTATGAAAATCTTGCGATATCTCAAAAACTAGCGGTCCTACCTAAAAATATAAAATTTTCACTAGCCCCTAAACCCACATACCCCCTAAAAATTATTTTTGCTGAATTTGGGTGAAAATGATGTTGCACTAAATGCGTCTCTTAAAAAAGTACAAACACATTTTTAGTGGCAGTTTCCTGTATAAAGTAAGGCCTCGTCGAGTACCGTCATTATATACACAATTATAGAACAATAGGTTGCGGTCACCGGTGACCGCTTGGTGTTTGACAGTTTATTTGCTACTCCTTCGCTGGGACGTAGCATATGGCTACGGCTACGCTATATGTAGCATCGTAGGCCGCGTAGCATTCATAGCTAGGGCGAAACTAGTGATGTAGCACTTTTCCTAGTAAATTTTGGACTATGTGAAAAAGCAATAATATCTGATAAAATATCTAAAAAAATAAGTAAAATCTAGTCGCATTATCCATATCATTATTACAAATATTCTAAGTAAACTTTGATGAAAATTTGGTTTTAAAGTCGTTGGTAATTTCACAGTAGACTTTTGGTAAGTAATTCATTACCTTTTGTAGAGTATTGATTAGTTATAGAAGAAGTTATTTCTTGCTGCAGGGACGCTCTGGCCCCTTCTCCAACAAGACCTAGTAAAGCCTAGCAATAGAACGGTGAGTTCATTGCGTTTTTTGTTGTTACAAGGACTGTAAAATTCAGGTACTGAAGTCCTCTTACGTATGTCGTTGATACGGCTTACTGAATCTTCTGAATTCAGTTGACGTAAGGAATTTGATATTACTTTTTCATTTAGTGTTCGTTCATGTGTTCCAGGTTAAACTGAAGCTTTGAGATGTGTGTTGATTATTTTTTATGCATCTTTGACAACATATATATAATACTTTCGGCCCTTTACTTCACTTGTTATTTATTGGCAATAAAACTACGTCCAATACTCGGCTACTGACTACTTCTATCTAAAATAAAAAGTGTTCAGTAATATTTTTAATCTAGCCTTTTCATTGAAATGATTAACGAAGTTTCTGTTTCAGGGCGCGACTCATTCGGAATGTTTTCTATATCAATGTAAAATCAAACAAGTGAATAAAGACTAAATGAATATATAATATTAATAATATTTTCCCGTCCTAGTTAGGTTGTTAGGTACATACTAGTTTATCCAAAAACTTCATGACATTTTGTAATTTATAAAAATGTATAGGAAAGTTTTGTATATTATTAATAAAAAACATAAATAAAAATAGACAATGCCGTTTTATTTCGCTTTTATGCGTAGGAATTGGATATTATGGCCGTGAAAACGAAATTATTAGCATTTTGTTTATATCCTCTGTATGTACGTAGGGATTGTGGCATTAGTTACATGTTCGGGTCAAATAAAACGACGGAACAAAGCAGTCAAGTTCTATATTTTATCGTTTACTTAATTTATTTTGTACAAACTTCAACAATATATATAATAAATACTCAATTAAACCTCTATCATTCAGCAAACTGAACTCACTTTTTTGTCATAAGTATAGTTAAAATAAACAATACAATGATATTATAACTTATTGTCTAAACTTAATTAAACACAACTTCTTTGTGCAAATATGCCTAATAGTAGTTATAATCTTTGGTTTCACCAACATAAAGTGACGACATATTGGTAAATGTATGCCGCATAGAGCCGTATGGAACTTGTCAATCTCGATACCTAACGCTATAAGGAGCTTTAAATAAGAAATACTCTTAGATTGTAGTTCTTATCACATAAATGCTTACACATTTCAATAAATGCATTTTTGTGATAACAAAAGTACTAGCTAAATAGAAAGAAATTAGAATCAATCACGTGTCATTTGTACTACGTGTCTGTCTTTACTTTTGTGTAGCAATCAATCTACGAAATAAAATGTATGGTTTTGAAACAATTGAAAAACAAATTCTGTTTTGTGACTGAGTGCATTTGTAACAACGACAAATAATTATCTAGCTTGTCCATTATGTTTACTGGCTAACCGTAGGTACAATATATTCACATTCACTAAATGGTGATAAGCGGTAAGTTTACCTTAATAGCTAATAATCAACAATTGGTGTACATTCGTGATTGTTTACACGGCACTAACTAGGTGAAAACATCAGTATTGTCGACTTAAATCATATTTCTAAACTTAAAATACTTACGTGATTTTAAGTTACAGATTTTGATTTTAGATTTTTACAAACACGTCAACAAGGACATTTAAAACAAATGTTCAAGATCATCTTATCCGATCAGTCTTCCAAAGCGCAATATAATATTATATATTAGAGGACAGAGCTTGAGTGGCTCCACACGGCTCTCAGATAACTAGTTACCTTGTGTTGAACGTAAAGTAACGTCTGACGTAACGCAAGAGGGAACGCAAGAGTCGCGACCGCGCGACCGCAGAGCGCGGGGCGCGCGCGGGCGCCGGGGAACCTCGCCCGCTCGCTCCCCGCGCTGTCTTTATAAAATTATCTACATAATCATTATCTTGTAACCATAATTATTGCAAAATATGTGCAAAACTGTAAGCGTCTCTTTAGTTTACGATACACTGACTCTTTAAACCTTGCAGCACTTAAAATTGTCTTGCACTTGAGATAATTTTTCACATTTTATGTAAACGAATTGAAAACAACCGGCACACAACTATTCGGTGACATGTTCCATACAAGGTAATGAAAAGCGAAACCTCTCGTCGAGCACACGTTAACGTTATTGCTTCAAGCTTATTACGTATCGCTGATATCAATAGATAGTAGACATAATATAATAAATTACGTGTTGCGACGTGCGGTTTGGGATCTACCCGGCAATAAGCTCTCAATATTTACAGAGTAGTAGAAAATTGACCACTTCCAAAGTTAAATTACAAAAATTTAATGATTCATTAGTCTGTTGTGCTAGAAAAGACAATACTGTCACAGAGGTGTACCGTCGTGAGCTGACAGCGACGTCCGGCCAGGACCTCCGTCTATCTAGAGAGATGTCAATCGAAAAATAAACAATACTTCATAATATCTACCTTACTCGGTAAGGGACGTTCGATCTCTTAGTTAATATCATCTTATTGCTAATATAGTGATGTCTTTCAAGTAGCCGAATCGGTCGTACATCGTGGATGAACATTAAACATCACCAACATCGTCAAAATGTAATCTGCAAGAGCAACACTCGTCGAAGCAGTACCAGCCCGCTCGCTATATATGTAGATACAGGGACGGGGGCGCGGCCGGGGAGCGCCGGCCCCCGCGGCTAATGTAATCCGGGGAAGGCAATTACATTAACTAGGTATGTGGAAAGTGCGCGTTACATAAAATGGCTCGATTCTTATGATGCGTACTGAATTAGGACGGAAGTGAATTCTGGTACCGATTTCACAGCTGATTTGTTAAGCTTATATAGATAACGTTGCAAAAATTTCTCTAAACTCTCTTAATCCCGAGGACCGGCGGCAGCCGTCCTCGCATAGCTAGACGCGACCTGCGTCGTTTCGGTACAGTGAGAAGCTTACAAATTGGAACTATTAAAACTATACGGACAAAATTGATATGAATCGGCGTAGCCATTGCTTTTCTTAAGCGTCTATTAAGATACGATAATACTAGCGCGCCCGAGAGCGCAGGCGAGCGGTTCACGTAAATGTATGTAACCGAAGTGTGGACGTGAGGCGGTGCATCGAACGTGTTCGCGTGAGTGAAGCACAAGCGGTGACTGCGCGCCGCACTCCGCCGCTCCACCACTCACTCCACTCACTCACTCCACTCACTACACTCACTCCACTCACTCGCTCCACTCCACACTACACACACTACACGCCGGGACCGGGGACATCTACTTGTGCTATTGCTCGACACCATTTCGGGGAAGTAAAATGATATCTCACAATCGGTAACAAATCATCAAACTTCACAATATTTATAAGTACAGTTCTGTTTTAGAATTTTACAGATAGACAGTGATATTCATCGAATACAAAAATAAGCTTTTAGAGTTTCCTCAATTTTATCCAATACCTTACATTACATCACTAGTGACGAATAAAAAAAGGGCACGCTCGCGAGAACGATCCTCTCCGATCACCGGGAACAGGTCCGCACGCGAACGCAAACCGACGAATGCGAATCGGAACGACAGAACGCGGTGAACGCGCGCGTACATCGGTCGCAAAACAAACTGATCACTAAGCTTCGGCCACGCGAATACAAAACACTCCAGTAAACACGTCGAACGTCTCTAGAACGCGAAGAAGTCGGTCCAGGCGGGCGCGGGCGCGCGCCGCCCGGCCGCGGCGCTCTGCCGCCGCTAGACGGGACTAGGGG